AATCTGTTCACAGATGCGTTGTTTCTTGCCTGAGGCTTTGTGACCAGTGCTCACCAGGCCGGCCAGAGGTGGTGGGGTTCGTCCTTCCGTCGAGCCCCCAGCATGGTGCAGGAGTTGACCAGACCACACACTAGAAGTTGAAGAGACGACGACGTTTTGGTCCGTCCTGGACCATTCTCAAGTCAATTGTGATGAGGAGGTAGAGAAAGGCAATAAATAGGCAAGAGAGAGCTGAGGAGGGAAGTAAGGTGTAGGGGATAGTAGTAATAATGAGAACTGCAGAAGGCCTATTGGCCCATACGAGGCAGCTCCTATTATAACCACCGAAGGAGATAGTAATAGGAATAAGAAGAGGATAGCAAGGGAGCATAGGAGAAGACAATGAACAGAAAAAGGGTAGAAGAGAGAAAGAGAAAGAAAGATAAATGGAAAGAAAAATGGATTTTTTTTTCCAATTGCATTTGACACTGCTCACGTCTCCTCTTCCCACCACTCCTCCACACTACACAACAAACTTCAACGCCTGATCTCCAACAGTCCTTGGGCCAAATACTCTCTCTCTGACTGTGTTACCAACCTTTCGTCCTACTCTCTTTCTAAGCACCAGCAAGAACTTCTTGGTCTTGGTCTGTCTTTTGCTACTTCCCTTGGCCCACGCTGTGGCATTGATCTCATTAGTTCCTTTGACAGGTTTGTCAATTCTAACTCTAGTACTCTTTCGGACCTGTCTGCCTTTAGAGGGGCCCTTATCCCCGTTCTTGACAGCTTGTTTTCTAAAAATCACCACCTTCCTCGCCGCTTCCATCTTGCCCTTGACTCCCTAAAATCTAACAACTCTATTCTTAACCTTCCTTCCGACAAAGGCAATTCGGTGGTTGTCCTTGACCGTGAGGACTACCTCCGAAAAGCAGATGTCTTGCTCTCTGAGTCTCGCACTTATTCTCCTCTGACTTCTAACCCTTTGGATCGCCTCAAAACTTCCTTTAACCACAAACTAAGACAGCTCTCTAGTCTTTGTCCTCCTGACTTTGATCTCATTAAACGTTTCTGTGTCATCTGCCCCTTCTCTTCCTTATTTCTATGGTCTTCCTAAGACTCATAAACCTGGTGTTCCTCTTCGTCCTATCATTTCTTCACGGGGCTCTGTCAGCTATCCTCTTGCCTCCTGGCTCGCTAAAACCCTGACACCTTACCTTGGCACTTTTTCCCCTGCCCACCTTCGTCACTCTCAGGACTTCATAGAAAGACTGCGCCTGCAACCCTTTTGTAAGATGCTTAGTCTTGATGTAGACTCTCTGTTCACTAATGTTCCGCTCGATGACGTTCTCTCTTTCCTTAGACAGAAGGCGTCAGAGGGCCTCCTTCCTCTCCCACTTCCCACTGACGTTTTCCTCGATTTCATTAGAGTCTGTGTTGAATCTAACTCTTTCTCTTTCAACGGTAAATATTACACTCAAACTTTCGGTGTCGCTATGGGTTCCCCTCTCTCCCCTGTTCTTGCTAATTTCTACATGGAATACTTCGAAACTGTTCTTCTTCCTTCTATTGACACTCGTCCCTCTCTCAGGCTTCGCTATGTTGATGACATTTTTGCTTTATGGCCTCATGACCTTAGTCTTTTCCAGCCTTTCCTCGCCTCTCTTAACAATCTGGCTCCTTCTATCCATTTCAAAGTTGAATGGGAATCTAATTACCTCCTTCCTTTTCTTGATGTTCACGTTCACAGCTCTGTGTCTGGGTTCTCTTTCTCTGTCTACCGTAAACCCATGCATAGTGGCATGTACATTCACTTCTTTTCCTACCATCCTCTTTCTGTTAAGAAAAGTGTCCTCGTCTCTCTCTTCCTCTGCGCTCTACGCATCAGCGACCCTCAGTTTCTTGATTCTGAAATTGCCTTTATCTACAAATCATTCTCTCGCCTTGGTTATCCTTTGTATTTCATCAACTGTGCCTACTCTCAAGCTAAACGAAATTTCTTTCATCCTAAACCTGCTTCCAACACTAGTAGCACTGTACTATGCCTTCCCTTCATATCTGAACTCAAAACTTTTACCAATACCTTTCATCCTCTTGACATTAAACTCGCCTTTCGACAAACTAACACACTTCGTAGTTCACACTGCTCTTCCTGCTTCTAATGCTGCTGGTGTCTACTCTATTTCCTGTTCATCTTGTCCTCTCCAATACTTTGGCGAAACTGGCCGTACACTGAATGACAGACTTAAAGAACACAAGAGAAGTGTTAAGTCTGCAGACACTAACAATGCTCTCTTCTGCCATGTGAGGGATTCTAATCATCCCATTGATTGGTCTTCCTCCAAAATAATCTTTCCTGCCTCTACTCTACACAGACGCCGTCTTGTAGAATCGGCTCTTATACACAATGTACCCAACATGAACTTGAGTCCTGGCTTTGTTGCTGTGGACTCTTCCCTTTCACAGTATATACTCAAATGCTCTAATCTTTCTAACAAACGTGACTTAACATGAGCTTACCCCTTCCATTTATCTTTCTTTCTCTTTCCTTTTCTTTCTCTCTTCTCCCCTTTTTCTGTTCATTGTCTTCTCCTACGCTCCCTTGCTATCCTCTTCTTATTCCTATTACTATCTCCTTCGGTGGTTATAATAGGAGCTGCCTCGTATGGGCCAATAGGTCTTCTGCAGTTCTCATTATTACTACTATTCCCTACACCTTACTTCCCTTCTCAGCTCTCTCTTGCCTATTTATTGCCTTTCTCTACCTCTTCATCACAATCGACTTGAGAATGGTCCAGGACGGACCGAAACGTCGTCGTCCCTTCAACTTCTAGTGTGTGGTCTGGTCAACATACTTCAGCCATGTTATTGTGACTCATCGCCTGCACATGGTACAGGAGTTTGCGGCTATGTGGATGTTGCTTCGGAGGGTTTGGGTCGCTCTTGGTTCGACGATCCGGCTCCATCCCGACTGCTCCCTGGTGGTTCATTGCCTGAGCTGAGGGGGGGTTCCATGCGGTCCTTGGCTCCTTGGGGCTGGTTGCTTTAGGTGATTCTTCTGCTGAGTTCTTGGGGTTTGGCTCTCCTGGCTGTTCACGTTCTGAGGGTGTCAGACATCCTGGCGGATGGCCAGCTTTGGTTCATTCCCCTGTCCACAGAATGGACATTCAATGACGACTCCTTCAGTTGGCTCTGCTGGATGTTCGAGCATCTGCAGGTGGACCTCTTCGTGTTGGTGTGGTTGAGGTGTCTCCTGTTATGTGGCCCTTCCCCGACTGCGAGGCTGTCGGGGTTGATGCCTTGCAGCAGGACTGGTCGAGGTGGGGTTACTTGTATCTCTTCCCCCCAGGTTTAGCTGTTGCTCCAGGTCCTAGCATGCTTGGAGTCTTACCTAGGGAGAGTAGTCGTCTTGGCACCTTGGTTTCAGGCACTGCTTGCTCGGTGTCCAAATCTGTGGGTCTTCCCCCGACTCTTTCAGCAGATCGGTCCGGTCCGTTACGTGACTGGTTCGCTCTTCTCCTCGAGTCTTCACGTCTGGTCTGTCTGACTCGAGTCTATCACCGCTTGTATGGTGAGCAGGTGACTTCTAGGCGGCAGTATGAAGTTTCCTGGGGGTCCTTCCATTATTTCTTTTCCCTTCGCAGGTTTACTTCTGTCTCTGATAAGGTCATCTTGTCCTTCCTTTCGTGGTTGTTCCAGCACTGTCATCTTATGCCAAATATTATCACCTTGTATCGTCTGGCGTTGGTGGAGCCGCTGCAGCTTGTGTTTGGCAATGATTATACTTCTGCACCGTTCCGCAAGCTGTATCATGCGTTGTTTCAAATCCCAGCCTGCTCATGCACCGCCAGAGCTGTCCTGGTCATTGGACCGGGTGCTCTCCTTTCTTTCTTTCCTCTGTTTGTTGTAGCCCCTTTGGTTCAGGATTGTTTTTCCAAGGATCTTTTTTTTTTTTTTTTTTACCCCGTTGGCATTGGCCTGTGGGGAGGGGGGGGGGGGTCAGGTCGGGTAGCTTCATGCTCTCCTCCGGCGCAGGGGTTTCTGCTCTTTTGACTCTGGCAGTTGGTTTGTTCGTTTGCAGCCATCTACTTTTCTGCGAAGATTGAGACATCCACTTTCCGGTGGGGTCCTTGGATTTTTTATGCTTGGTTAGGCCGGGGGTGCATCATGTGTTGTTTGGTTGCGGCTCTCTGCCATTGTTTGCACGCTTCGGCTTCTGTGTCAATGGTCGCACTTTGGGTTGCCCCTGGTTTCCCTTCTTCCCTGTGCCTGGGTTCAGGTTTCCCGGGTCGTTTGCTGGGTCCTTCGGAGCTGTTGGTTGTCTTGCTTTCGTTTTGAGTTGTGGTGGCATACGCCTCCCGGGTGCATCCCTCTTTTCCTTTTCTTTGGTGAAGTAGCTCCGTGGAGCTGTAGGGGCACTCCCCCCAGAAAACCAGCATTGAAAGTAATGAAACTCCATTTTCTGGGTGAGACCCGGAGGTTCCCTGCAACCCTACCTCCCTCCGGTCGTCAGTTTTTCGCACGTTTTGATATCTATCCTCAGAACTGCAGGGTGGATCGCTGGCACGAGGGGGTCTGGGGCTCCTCCCCCCCCCTCTTTGGGATGCTTACCTTTCTGGGTGCCTTACCCAGTCGATGGCAGACATAGAATGCTCCATAACTACAGGTGCATTTCTATTGGCCATTGCTCCTCGTACCTCTCTGTGGGGGCCAAGTTTTGGCTTGTGGTCCCCGGTAGGCCTAGAACTCCATTCACATTGACTGAGGCCAAAGTCTAATATTTCCATATAAGCCTGGATAGCTCCGGGGAACCTCTGGGTCTCACCCAGAAAATGTTGTTTCATTACATTCAATGCTGTTTTTTTTTTATTAAGATAATTTTTTTTACCTGATTTTTGGTAGGCTGCACAAATGTTTAGTCTGATGGGTTTTATGTTGCTCTTTAGTACCTGAGCTTTATAATCAAGGAACTATTGATGGACTGCAAAATAAGTCACATTTCATTGCACACACTTTTTTTCCAGGTCAGTGGAGTAGAAATTGCAGATTTTGATGAGCAAGGATTTGGACTTCGAGCAACAGAGGATCTCAATGAAGGTCAGGAGGTAATAACTGTGCCCCGAGAAGCCATGCTGACAGAAGAGACTGCCAGAAAGTCATATCTTGGTATGTGGGGCATTGTCTTCTGCATCAGTGCAGTCATTTTATAGGTGTGACATCACCAGTTTCATTTAGTTTGCTATAAGTTTGTTTCCAGTTTTCATTTGGTTGGAAATGTAGAAAGAATGAAAGCATATAAATTTTAATAGGAAAATAAATGACTATATGGTTTATTATTTGGACATACTGTATCTGAAAATTATAATTTTCATAGAGATTGCAAAATATTAATAACATCAGTACTGTAGTTCACATATCTCGACACTGGTATAAATTCTTCGAAATTTTAATTTTCTTTGGTAATTAAGTAATTGTAGTTACAGGATGAGAGTTACGCTCGTGGTGTCCCGTCTTCCCAGCACTCTTTGTCATATAACGCTTTGAAACTACTGACGGGCTTGGCCTCCACCACCTTCTCACCTAACTTGTTCCAACCGTCTACCACTATGCTTGTGAAAGTGAATTTTCTTATATTTCTTCGCCAGCTTTGTTTAGTTGGTTTAAATTTGTAACCTCTTGTTCTTGAGGTTCCAGGTCTCAGGAATTCTTCCCTATCAATTTTATCGATTCCAGTTAATATTTTGTACATAGTGATCATATCGACTTTTTTTTTTTTTTTTTTTTTTTTTTTTTTTTTTTTTTTTTTATCTTCTAGCTAGTTTTGGCATATTTAATGCCTCTAACCTCTCCTCGTAGCTCTTGCCCTTCAGTTCTGGGAGCCACTTAGTAGCATGTCTTTGCACCTTTTCCAGTTTGTTGATGTGCTTCTTAAGATATGGGCACCACACAACCGCTGCATAGTCCAGCTTTGGCCTAAGAAAGGTCGTGAACAATTTCTTAAGTATTTCACCATCCAAGTATTTAAAAGCAATTCTGAAATTGGATAGTGTTGCATTGACTCCTTGCACGATGTTCCTTATGTGGTCCTCAGGTGATAGTTTTCTATCTAGAACCACCCCTAGATCTCTTTCTTTATCAGAATTCTTTAAAGATTTCTCACATAATTTATAGGTTGTGTGGGGTCTATGTTCTCCTATTCCACATTCCATAACATGGCATTTATTAACATTAAATTCCATTTGCCAAGTGGCAAATGGAATTAACGTTTAACTATTTAACTTATTATGTTCATTAACTTATTATGCCATTAACTTATTTTGTTCAGGTCTTCTTGAAGGGCATGACAGCTTTCTAAGCTTCTTATCTTCCCTAGTATGGTGTAGGCTTGGTACGGTATTCAGATAAGTGTATTTATTTGCACTTTTTGCATTTAGTTCTAAGGTAAGACACTGAGTCCTCCAGACAAAGATGGGGAGAGTGAGGAAAGAGACATTCTAAAGTACCTGAACCACAGGACACTTTAGCAGTTGTTCCTGCATGGTCATCAAAATAGCTAAGGATCACTGGAGACAAATTCAGTTCAACCTGTTATAGATAATTTGAAACCTGTGTAAGAATTCTAACTAACACAGGAGTTGGTCACCCCCGGTCCCTCCCCAAGACCCCCTATCCTGCACACTGGACCCTCCCCACTACCTCCATCCTCTCATCCCCTACACCGGACCCCTCTACCAGCTGTGCCCCTCCCTGCTATATGGACGGTATTAATACGGTGGGCTTCCTTGCTACCAGCCGATGGATGATCGGGAGGCAGACATCCTGGTCACCTGACATTAAACTCTCTCTTTTTTTTTTTTTTTTTTTTTTTTTTTTTGTTTACTGACTGACTGGTTGCAACTGTGAAAGTCTGATTGATTGTGGAAAGCCTGATTGACGGTGGAACGCCTGATTGACGGTGGAAAGCCTGATTGACGGTGGAAAGCCTGATTGACGGTGGAAAGCCTGATTGACGGTGGAACGCCTGATTGACGGTGGACAGCCTGATTGACGGTGGAACGCCTGATTGACGGTGGAAAGCCTGATTGACGGTGGAACGCCTGATTGACGGTGGACAGCCTGATTGACTGTGGAAAGCCTGATTGACGGTGGAACGCCTGATTGACGGTGGAAAGCCTGATTGACGGTGGAACGCCTGATTGACGGTGGACAGCCTGATTGACGGTGGAAAGCCTGATTGACGGTGGAAAGCCTGATTGACGGTGGAATGCCTGATTGACTGTAAATGTGTGACTGACCATAAATGCCTAATTGGTTGCTACCACAACTGTGAATGCTTGACTGTCTTTGGTTGTGGCTACCTGTGACTGGTCTTGACTGACTTGTGGCTGTAACTGACTGGTTCTGACTGACTGCCACATAACAGAGGCAGTGAAATGTGTCAAAGGAAAAATCTGGAACCAGTGATGCAGATATAAAAGTTTTTAAGTTGAGCAGGGGACGGTCTCACCACCACCACCACCACCACCACCTCACCCCTCCTCCTCACCCTCCCCATACACCAACACCGCCCCTCCCTCCCTCCCTCCCTCTTCCCACCTCCCTGTCTCCCATACGCCACCAAGAGTCCTCAGTAAAGGTAAAGTGCAGTTAAATGTTCACTTATTTTACTTATGGTTTATATTTATGCCTGATTGTTTTATGTATGAAAAATGAGTAGTATTCTTTATAAAATGTATTTTTAAGTTAATATTTTTGGGGGGTGTTGAACGGATTAATTCAATTTACATTATTTCTTATGGGAAAATTTGTTTCAGTTTGCAAATTTTTGGTTTACAAACCATCTTTGGGAATGGATTTAATTCGAAAACAAAGTTATCACTGTATAAGAATTGTGGTAATGTTTATAATTTTTGTACAGTATTGCATAATTATTGATGCTATTTACTTTCTTCAGGTTCACTAATAGAACGGGATCCCATCTTACAGCACATGGGCAATGTATCCTTGGCGTTGCATGTTCTTGGGGAGTTTGTGAACCCACAGTCACCATGGCAACCTTACCTACGTATTCTACCATCCACTTACTCGACCACTTTGTACTTTTCACCGCAGCAACTTCAACTGCTTAAGGGGTCACCAGTCCTAGGTAAGTTGCATATATCAGATACTTTCTTCTTCAGCATTAATATTTTGCCTTGTTTCATGGTTTTTTTCTGGGTTGTACGGTTCATTTTTTAACCCAAAATGATGAAAAAAGGATTTTTACTTTATTATTTATTAATTATAGCAAAGAAAAAGTTTAGTCGTCTTAAACATGACAAAAATATTGGGACCTACAGAAGGCTAATTGGTCCATACATAGCAAAACCCTCGACAGATCTTCCTCACACTCGGACTTTCAAATGTTTGATTATTGTGAGTGTTTACTTGTGAGAGCCGGCATCTCCTCCTTCCTCCCCTCTCTCTCCTCTTGTGAGAGCCGGCATCTCCTCCATCCTCCACTCTCTCCTCTTGTGAGAGCCGGCATCTCCTCCATCCTCCACTCTCTCCTCTTGTGAGAGCCGGCATCTCCTCCATCCTCCACTCTCTCCTCTTGTGAGAGCCGGCATCTCCTCCATCCTCCACTCTCCTCTTGTGAGAGCCGGCATCTCCTCCATCCTCCACTCTCTCCTCTTGTGAGAGCCGGCATCTCCTCCATCCTCCACTCTCCTCTTGTGAGAGCCGGCATCTTCCCATCCTCCACTCTCTCCTCTTGTGAGAGCCAGCATCTCCTCCATCCTCCACTCTCTCCTCTTGTGAGAGCCGGCATCTTCCCATCCTCCACTCTCTCCTCTTGTGAGAGCCAGCATCTCCTCCATCCTCCACTCTCTCCTCTTGTGAGAGCCGGCATCTCCTCCATCCTCCCCTCTCTCCTCTTGTGAGAGCCGGCATCTCCTCCATCCTCCACTCTCTCCTCTTGTGAGAGCCGGCATCTTCCCATCCTCCACTCTCTCCTCTTGTGAGAGCCGTCATCTTCCCATCCTCCACTCTCTCCTCTTGTGAGAGCCGGCATCTCCTCCATCCTCCACTCTCTCCTCTTGTGAGAGCCGGCATCTTCCCATCCTCCACTCTCTCCTCTTGTGAGAGCCGTCATCTTCCCATCCTCCACTCTCTCCTCTTGTGAGAGCCGGCATCTCCTCCATCCTCCACTCTCTCCTCTTGTGAGAGCCGGCATCTTCCCATCCTTCACTCTCTCCTCTTGTGAGAGCCGTCATCTTCCCATCCTCCACTCTCTCCTCTTGTGAGAGCCGTCATCTTCCCATCCTCCACTCTCTCCTCTTGTGAGAGCCAGCATCTCCTCCATCCTCCCCACTCTCTCCTCTTGTGAGAGCCAGCATCTCCTCCATCCTCCACTCTCCTCTTGTGAGAGCCGGCATCTCCTCCATCCTCCACTCTCTCCTCTTGTGAGAGCCATCCTCTCCTCCATCCTCCACTCTCTCCTCTTGTGAGAGCCAGCATCTCCTCCATCCTCCACTCTCCTCTTGTGAGAGCCGGCATCTCCTCCATCCTCCACTCTCTCCTCTTGTGAGAGCCAGCATCTTCCCATCCTCCACTCTCTCCTCTTGTGAGAGCCAGCATCTCCTCCATCCTCCCCACTCTCTCCTCTTGTGAGAGCCGGCATCTTCCCATCCTCCACTCTCTCCTCTTGTGAGAGCCAGCATCTCCTCCATCCTCCACTCTCTCCTCTTGTGAGAGCCAGCATCTCCTCCATCCTCCACACACTCCTCTTGTGAGAGCCAGCATCTCCTCCATCCTCCACTCTCTCCTCTTGTGAGAGCCAGCATCTCCTCCATCCTCCACTCTCTCCTCTTGTGAGAGCCAGCATTTCCTCCATCCTCCACTCTCTCCTCTTGTGAGAGCCAGCATCTTCCCATCCTCCACTCTCTCCTCTTGTGAGAGCCAGCATCTCCTCCATCCTCCACTCTCCTCTTGTGAGAGCCAGCATCTCCTCCATCCTCCACTCTCTCCTCTTGTGAGAGCCGGCATCTCCTCCATCCTCCACTCTCCTCTTGTGAGAGCCGGCATCTTCCCATCCTCCACTCTCTCCTCTTGTGAGAGCCAGCATCTCCTCCATCCTCCACTCTCTCCTCTTGTGAGAGCCAGCATCTCCTCCATCCTCCACTCTCTCCTCTTGTGAGAGCCAGCATCTCCTCCATCCTCCACTCTCTCCTCTTGTGAGAGCCAGCATCTCCTCCATCCTCCACTCTCTCCTCTTGTGAGAGCCGGCATCTTCCCATCCTCCACTCTCTCCTCTTGTGAGAGCCGGCATCTCCTCCATCCTCCACTCTCCTCTTGTGAGAGCCGGCATCTCCTCCATCCTCCACTCTCTCCTCTTGTGAGAGCCGGCATCTCCTCCATCCTCCACTCTCTCCTCTTGTGAGAGCCGGCATCTCCTCCATCCTCCACTCTCTCCTCTTGTGAGAGCCGGTATCTCCTCCATCCTCCACTCTCTCCTCTTGTGAGAGCCAGCATCTTCCCATCCTCCACTCTCTCCTCTTGTGAGAGCCAGTATCTCCTCCATCCTCCACTCTCTCCTCTTGTGAGAGCCGGCATCTCCTCCATCCTCCACTCTCCTCTTGTGAGAGCCGGCATCTCCTCCATCCTCCACTCTCTCCTCTTGTGAGAGCCATCATCTCCTCCATCCTCCACTCTCTCCTCTTGTGAGAGCCAGCATCTCCTCCATCCTCCACTCTCTCCTCTTGTGAGAGCCGGCATCTCCTGCATCCTCCACTCTCCTCTTGTGAGAGCCAGCATCTCCTCCATCCTCCACTCTCCTCTTGTGAGAGCCGGCATCTTCCCATCCTCCACTCTCTCCTCTTGTGAGAGCCGGCATCTCCTCCATCCTCCACTCTCTCCTCTTGTGAGAGCCGGTATCTCCTCCATCCTCCCCTCTCTCCTCTTGTGAGAGCCGGTATCTCCTCCATCCTCCACTCTCTCCTCTTGTGAGAGCCAGCATCTTCCCATCCTCCACTCTCTCCTCTTGTGAGAGCCAGCATCTCCTCCATCCTCCCCACTCTCTCCTCTTGTGAGAGCCGGTATCTCCTCCATCCTCCCCACTCTCTCCTCTTGTGAGAGCCAGCATCTCCTCCATCCTCCACTCTCTCCTCTTGTGAGAGCCAGCATCTCCTCCATCCTCCACTCTCTCCTCTTGTGAGAGCCGGCATCTCCTCCATCCTCCACTCTCCTCTTGTGAGAGCCGGCATCTTCCCATCCTCCACTCTCTCCTCTTGTGAGAGCCGGCATCTCCTCCACTCTCTCCTCTTGTGAGAGCCGGTATCTCCTCCATCCTCCACTCTCCTCTTGTGAGAGCCAGCATCTCCTCCATCCTCCACTCTCTCCTCTTGTGAGAGCCAGCATCTCCTCCATCCTCCACTCTCCTCTTGTGAGAGCCAGCATCTTCCCATCCTCCACTCTCTCCTCTTGTGAGAGCCAGCATCTCCTCCATCCTCCACTCTCTCCTCTTGTGAGAGCCAGCGTCTCCTCCATCCTCCCCACTCTCTCCTCTTGTGAGAGCCAGCATCTTCCCCTCCTCCACTCTCTCCTTGTGAGAGGTGGCATCTTCCCATCCCCCACTCTCTCCTCTAGTCGGAGACCTAGTGCTGTGTTTAACAGCCACCCACTAAGATGGCTTGGTATGACCCCTCTCAACCTGGTATTATGATCCAGTCTCTTGTTCATGGTTGCCTGCACCCATCAAAGCTTATCATAGTTTTATATTAGTGTATTGCATCCATTTACTGTGACAAACAATGCAGTGTTGTTTAGAGCTTCAACAAGCAGTGATGCAAAGAGTTTGTGCAAAGAATTCATCACAATTCATTGTTATGAATTTAAATTAAAATATAACATGCTGGGAAAAGTTAGATCTGATATTCCTAGAAGTGTCATGTGCACTAAATATAAAGTGAGCAAAACAATTTTGTATGACTTTAGACAATAGAAACATGTGCCAGGATGGTTGACCAAGGAGTGTGTGTGTGTAATTACCTAAGTGGAGTTACAGGATGAGAGCTACGCTCGTGGTATCCCATCTTCCCAGCACTGTCATATAACGTTTTGAAACTACTGACGGTTTTGGCCTCTGCCATCTTCTCATTTAACTTGTTCCAACCGTCTACTACTCTGTTTGCGAAAAAAACTTTCTTATATTTCTTCAGCGTCTTTGTTTAGTTAGTTTCAATCTATGACCTCTTGTTCTTGAAGTTCCAAGTCTCAGGAAATCTTCCCTATCAATTTTGTCAATTCCTGTTACTATTTTGTAAGTAGTGACCATATCACCTCTCTCTTTTCTTCTGTCTTCTAGTTTTGGCATATTTAATGCCTTTAACCTCTCCGTGTAGCTCTTGTCCTTCAGTTCTGGGAGCCACTTAGTAGCATGTCTTTGCACCTTTTCCAGTTTGTTGATGTGCTTCTTAAGATATGGGCACCACACAACAGCTGCATATTCTAGCTTTGGCCTAACAAAAGTCGTGAACAGTTTCTTTAGTATTTCCCCCATCCATGTATTTAAAAGCAATTCTGAAGCTGGAAAGTGTAGCATAGGCTCCTCGCACAACGTTCTTTATGTGGCCCTCAGGTGATGGTTTTCTATCTAGAACCACCCCTAGATCTCTTTCTTTATCAGAATTCTTTAAAGATTTCTCACATAATTTATAGGTTTTGTGAGGTCTATGTTCTCTTATTCCACTTTCCATAACATGGCATTTATTCACATTAAATTCCATTTGCCAAATGGTGCTCCATATACTAATTTTGTTCAGGTCTTCTTGAAGGGCATGCCAATCATCTAAGTTTCTTATCCTTCCTATTATCTTGGCATCATCAGCAAACATGTTCATATAATTATGTATACCATCTGGTAGATCATTCATGTAGACAATGAACATCACTGGTGCAAGAACTGAACCCTGTGGTACTCCACTTGTGACGTTTCTCCAGTCCGATACATTGCCTCCAATTGCTGCCCTAATTTTTCTATGAATCGGGAAAATTTTTCATCCGGTGTTAGAAGTTTACATGTCACCCCTCCAATATTTTCCAGTTTTCAGAACAACCTCTATGTGAAACTGTGTCGAAAGCCTTTTATAGGTCCAGATAGATGCAGTC